GGTTTGTCATCTCGAGATCTGATGGAAGAAGGATGCACTTGCAACATTTTCTTGTGATTCATGTTCTGCCTGAGTAGATAAAAAGGGCAAAGGACAAGAAATAGTAAGTGGGTTCCGACTTTACTTCTATGGGTCCTATAGATTCTATATCATAAATGCAATCTGATTTTTTATGTTAAAATGTCATGGACACTTGCACTGTTTTTTCTTACCCATGTCTGGGAAAGCTTCTTTTTCCCATTGTCTACAGTGACAAAAACCACCCTTATCTCTTGTCCTGTGATTTTCTGAATTTATTTCATTAGGTTTCTTGTGTATATTTTGGCTCCTTGACTGGCTTAAAATAAGATTTTATGGTTATCCAGCTTGGTCTCATTTTAAGAGTGGTACCACAAGTAGCATTTTCTTGTGATTTTCTGTATCTCAAAGAAAGTTGCTTATGCCCCTGAATATTCTTTTTACCAACAGAATTATCTCAAATTTCTGGCTGATATATTGGAGGTTTATACTTTTTGGCCCTCTATACCTTTAACTGCCTTAGACATGAATTTGACTTTTCATCTACCTTCTATTACTTTTTACTGTTTTATTACTCTGCTACTGTTTTCCATGAGAAACCAACTCACACTGCACTTTTCATGGAACTTCACATATTGATCTTTGGGAGGAAGAACATTTTAGGGAACATTGTCCCTCCACCTTCTTTCTTCCCACATTCTTTTCTTTTGTCTGTTCTCCTCATCCTGCCCCTCCCAACTTCTGTTCCTTGAGATACCCTTTATGTTCTTTCTCTGTGGTGCACAGCAAACATTCTTAGTTCATATCCAACACTTGCATCTTAAGGTGTTTGATAATAACATAATGCCTTCTTAAGGAACTGATTTGGTTTATAATTGCTGCAATTGTTCCATCTGCATTACAAAGAGGATTGCATTATATGATTCTTAAGACATCTTCAACTCTAAAGACTATGTAGAAACATAGAAGTGGGGCAAGAATAGAAGAAATTTGAAATGGAATCCAACATTTCTTGCATGGTTGCAACCTGGTCCATGACAATGATATCAATAATGGTTACACTTCTGTGTATTTATTCAGTGTTTGCTGTTTTCCATGAAACTTACTATCCACATTTACGAAGTGTGTAATCTGGTGTTACCTGTGGGATACAGCCTATTGGCATCTTCATATTTTAGGTGAGAGAACTGAGGCTTGGAAAGTGTTATCTACTTGCTCAAGCTATCATGAGTAGAGAGCATGTCAGGTAATGCAGTTGGGCTGATCTGACCTGAGAAGCTGAGTGCTTATTACTATTCAGGGTGCTGGGTACTTTTTGCCTAGTCCTTCTCAATTCTCACAACCCTGAAAGGTAGTTATTTTTAGCACCTCATTCTTGGGCTTAGAAAGCTAGAGATAGCAAATCTGACTTGCTCTTGGTTACACAGACAGTAAATGGCAAGGAGCCAGCATAAGACCAATTTGGTGCACCTGGTGAGGCTCTGCTCTTGCACAGGGCTCTGGGTACCCTGGCTGGGTGGTATTTACATGCTAGCTGGTGACACTTCTAGAAAGGAAGGAAAGTGACTTACTGAGAAATTGCCCCATGAAGGAGAGGATAGAGATCCTCAGGCTAGAACCCAAACCTGTGGTATCTCCACCCCTGTAATTCTAATTCCCCCTCAAAGTGACAGCCTCCTTTTTTATCTCAAAGTTGTTGGGCAGCTCTCAGTCCCTTCTGAGCTAATTTTGGAGACAATCATGTGCCAGCAATGGCTCTAGAGAGCAGTTGAGAGAACAGGCAGGTAGACTTGTCACAGAAGTGTTTGCCTAAGTCAGTCCCGGGCCTGGGCAGGCTGATATGACCCTGGATGAGACCAGCCCCTGGGGGACTTCAGGCTGAGTCTGCAGTGGTAGGTGGAGAAACAGATGCACCTTGACTGGCATTGGCTGAACATCTGGAGCACCTGGCCCATCATTTCATAATTAATCTTGGTGTTGAATCTAATGACATGACGGGATTGAGAAATTGAGCAATTTGACTAGACACATTTTGATATTTTAATTTTCAATAACACGTGGTCAGAGCTTATTCACATAATTACTAAATAGATTAATATGCCAATATCTCGGACGAGCTGGAAGGGGAAGATTTAGGCCTTCAGAGGTCTTTGACGGGCCTTTAAATTAAAGCTGATGTTCTGGAGAGGACGGGCGGAGGCTTTAGAGAGTATGTGTCACACTGGGGCTTGTGATGAAGGCCTTGAAAATGGCAATTTCATTATTATCTTTAAAAATAAACCCTTCATGAGATGCCTGCATGTGGGACATCAACTTGTCTGCAGAAGCCCCAAATCTGGAGTCACAAGGCTGCTGGGAAACCTGCTGTCCTTTCCCAGGGTGTGTAGCACCCTACTTCCACCCATACAAAGGACACTTGCAGCATCTATGTCATGGTGAATGTCCAGAAGCACTAAAGCAGCAAGGAACACACAATAAGCTGGGGTGAATTTGAAGCAGGTTGAATAGACATGCCTAACAAGGCAGCTTGGGCTACTCAGAGCTGGAGACTAGAGTACAGTGGTCAGAAAGGAATGTATTTTTGTGGAGAGGTGGAGTGATATGGTAGATTTGGAAATCACTTTTAAGGAGGTAGATCTGAGCTGGGGAACATACTCCAGAAATAGGACTCAAAGAGTAGCATAGGGTTTGAGTAGGGAGGATTTTGTCTGTTTTTCATTAGTATACCTCTCTTGGTTAGGGTCACTCAATTAGTATTCTAGTCCTTCCAACAACATCTGCTCTTTGACAGTCTCTGGTTGGTGGATCTGTGAGGACAAATAGAGCTCATGGGTTCCTCGAGGTCAGGGGCTTGGCTTTCCCCATCTAAGCAGCCACAGATACAACAAGATGATACCTTTTGGCCACATGAGTGACACTTCTAGTTGCCCATCACTCTCTGCCTTTATTACTCTTCCTTTCTCATTGGAAAGAGCAGTCACCCCCAGCTGTTGTCTGAGCAAAGGCCCCCCACTGTTCAGACAAACAGCCCATCTGCACACCACAGGCAATGTGTTCTGCAGACCTGGCCTCCCCTTCCAGGCCACCTCAGCCTGCACACTCAGGAAAGCAGGCTCTTGCTCTGGCTGCGGCACCTGCTTGCTGCAGAGGTGGAAGGGAGCATGTCTCCATGTGCTGCAGCCTCCCCAGGATGCGTGGGGAGGGCAGAGACAGCACCCCCAAGTCCAAGTCACACTGTCAGTAGAAAACAAGGCTTTTTTTCTCTCTGCTCTTTTCCTCTCATCCCTCAGAGCTAGAACTGCTCAGCACTCAGAGACCTATGGACATTGATAAAGCTTTCAGGGGAAAATGGCAAAAAAAAAGTGGAAACAAAATTAGAGGGAGAATGAGACTCCCTAAAAGAGACACATGTATCATCATCCACTTCCACCTGCAGCCTTCCCACCCTTCCTTCCCTTGCCTCCTAGATGCTTCGGAAATCAGGGATGTCATCAAGGCTGTTAGCCATGTCTATTCTGGGGACGGACTGTACCGCTCAGCCTGGTATTTACTGCTGAGTGACATAGGAGACGTTTTAGCTGTCTAGGGATGGGGTTGGGAGATGTGACAGAGAGGCTGGAAAAAGTATGGGCACGTTTTTCCATTTGATAAGTTTTTAAAAATGTTTTAAGTGAATTTTGTGCGTGGGGAAAGAGCTGTGATTGGCAGCCCCTGGGGGGTCTCCATGAAAGAAAAGGGACTGAAATGGGGGGCTGGGGCTGAACAACCACCTATTGTCTGCCAGGACTTTCATTTCTGTATCAGCTGCTCCAAGGTGGGTAACCAAGTCCTGATGATAGCAGCGACAGGAAGCTGGCATCTCTGGGTCTACCTCTGAGGAGGTCAGGCTGCTGGGGTTACCTGTTCCCCAGGGAAGGGTTTAGCACATGGATTTCCACCCACCTAGGAGAGGAAGGCAAAGTTATTTTCTTCCTCTGGTAGGAAATCCAATCTAATTCAACAAATATTTATTGATTTATTGAACACCTACTATGTGTGAGATGCTGGGCCTTGTGCTAAGTCAATAGAAGGTCTGTGCTCAGCCACACAGATGTGGCCCAAAGCTCAGGAACAAGTGCAAGACGAAGGAAGTAGGGAGAAATGCGCTGAGTAGAAACATGGGGTAGTGCTGCACTGAGGTGTCAAGAGAGCTGTGAGTTTGACTCTCAGTTTTGCGGCTTACCAGACGTACAATGTGGGACGTGTTATTTTCTCTCTAAACCTCAACCTCCTGGGTGAGGAAGTGGCCATAGTAACAGCTACCTGCAAGGAAGCATTGGTCAGTATGTAGTGCTGTTAGTACCCACCTACACCAACTCCCTTTAGACATTCTGCCAGGAAAGCCAGCCTCCTGCTGAAAGAAATGTCCCTCTCCTTCAGTTTTTGCAGGTCTCTGGGTGCTGCCTGCTGCACACGGGTGAGTGACCCCATCTCTGAGGTCCAGGTCCACCGCTCCATGAAATATTCAGCTCCGATGGTATCTGTTGACAGTCATTAGCTCTGCCTCACGTTCCTCCTGCCTCAGAGAGGAGGTGATTCATTAATATTTATTCATCTTGATTTGCTTTGTTTTTCTAAAGCCCATTCTAGGATATGGAATAATTTTGCAGAAGGCACAACTCCTGTTCCGCATATTTGGGCAATGTACACTGCCTGGAGCAACATGCCTCCAGGGGTGGGGAGGGGTGGGGAGAGTCGGGGTTAGTTCATGTCCAGCCAGTCTCTGTTTAATCAAATCTCCACATAAGGGTACTTAAGGAAAATTTTCATCCTCTCTGCTTTGCGATCCTCTGTGTGATCTCACTGAGGCTATAACAACCAACTTGACCCTGTACAAAGCCAGGGTCACAGTTGGCTATCACATGAGCTCAGGTGTGCAGAACATGAGCAGCCCCCCTTGAGCCTCGCTTGCTTCCAGGAGCTGAAGGGATTTGTGCCAGAAAAGGAGAAGCTGGACCTGCAGGGACTTTCTCTTGCTCCTTTTTGTCACTCAGCCTGTAAGTAGCACTTCTATGGCCAGATGAACAAGTGCCGAAAGAGACAGGCTTCTAGCTCCCAGGATAAACCTCTCCTTTGTCCTTTATGCTCAGGGAGCTCAGAACTGTAGCTGAAACTTTCAGTAAGGCCAGCCTAAGGTGTGAGGCATGCCACACACCCACAGAGCTTCCGGGTGAGCCTTAGGACTTCCTCCACTGTGGATGTCACCATGAAGGTGGCGTCATGCTGAGAGCTGATGCTCTGTGCGGCACCTGGAGTTGGAGGAGGAAGAGCAGAGTCCAGGGAAGAAGGTACCCAGCATTTAGGCACGGGAGTTTCCAGCCTCTTTCACATCCCTGGGCACTGGCTATGCTGGGGCCTGCACCAAGCCGGGAGAGGTCACCTGAGGGTAAGTCACAGTAAAGCCTGTCAGCGTACACAAATGGATGGAAGGGACTCAGCGTTTCTATAGCAATTATGGGAGGAGAATATTGCTGACGAAAATAAAACCTGCAAATGTGCCTCTGACATGTGACTACTTTATTCTCCCCTCTCAGAGAGAAAAGGGAAACAGTGTACTCTGTGTTTTATTCAGGTTTCTTGAAAAGGGAGGCAAACTGACAGACAGGCAGAGACAGATATGATGAGACACAGGAGGAAATTTGAAGTTTAAGGAGAGAGGAAAATTACAGATAGTCAAGGCTCTTAGAGCCTCAGGTCCTCCTCCTTTGCTTAGGAGTGGGGAGTCTGCAGGCTTCCAGGCTGGCACCCTTCCACACCTCATGGGAGGACAAGGTGGAAGTGTGGCCAGTTACAGTTGGACCATGTCACCGGCATTGCTCGCCTTCCTGTTTTAACCACTGGGGTCACTGTAGTCATCCAAAAGCCTCTGGAAGTCTGATGTGCACAAGGACATTGCTCTAGGTCAGGCTCCTTCAGGGCCCAAGACAGTGACATTACCCAAACAGGAGCCAAGTAAGGTTGAAAGAGATTGGTTCTTTTTTTTTTTTTTTTTTTTTTTTTTTGGTACCAGGAATCAAACTCAGGACCACATGTTTGCCAGGCAGGCACTTGTGCCGCTGAGCTATAGTGCAGGCCCACGGATTGGTTCTTGATTCTTAGAGCCAGCTGGCACATAGGAGGAAGAACCCAATTTCTGCTCTGAACAATCCATAGTCTGCCAGCAAGTCCCAATAAAGCACAGTGCATTTTCTGTATCTGTGGACTCCACATCCACGGATTCAACCAAACAGGGATTGGAAGTATCCAAGAAAAAAAATATTTTAAAAATTGTCTAATCTGAACAGACATGTTCCATTTTTTCTTGTCATTATTTCCTAATCAATGCAGTGTGACAATTATCTACACAGCATTTCTGCTGTGCTAGGTATTATGAGCAATGTAGCGATTATTTACAGTGTGTAGCAAGATGTCCATAGGTTTTGTGCAAACACTATGACATTCTATATAGGGCATGAGAGTGTTTGCAGGTTTGGGTGTCCACAGGGACCTTGACACTCATCGTGCACAGACACCAAGGGATGCTTGTATTTCTTCATCAGTGGCAGAACCCTTGAGCATAGGGAAACATGAGGTGTGCTACTTATCCCAACAGAACTTTCTGGCTAATTGAGGCTACGAGGCAGCCATCCATGAAATGATTAGCAGTTATACCAGTATGCCAGGGAAGATCTAAATAAAATGACAACTCTGATGGAACCAGAGAGGACCAGACAGCAAAGAAGGCTGGGATATGCAGAATAGCTTCCCATTCACATGAGGCTTAACCTGGGCCTGAAGGGTAGATAGACATTAGAGAAGCAAGAATATACCAAGCGGGAGTGAAGTAAATGTGCCAGGTTATTGAGGTGTGAGTGACAGGAAGACTTCAGGACACAAGGAGGAGACCAGAAGCCCTGGAGAGGGCGAGGGAGGTCATGGATAGTGCATGTAGGGGAAAATGGCCAAGGGATTCTTGTTTCCTAAGTGTACTTGGAAAACCCCAGCCTGGTGATTTGCACCATGTGGGATGGGTTTGGGGTCCATGTTTAAACACACTGAGCTTCTTTCCAATATTCACATTTTCTACCTACATTTTTTGGGCTTTGAGAAGTAGCACAATAAGGAATTGTTTAACAATTTAATATAATTTCTTCAAACACTTGTCTATAGATTTTGTCCCTTCTCCCTTTAGATAGTTTTTGTACTAATATATATTACCAAGTCTTGAGAGTAGAGTTCTTGACTCAATACAGACAAAGAAACTAATGTCTTGGGCCTTGTGCTGAGATTAGCTGTTCCTAAATCAGCAACTTATTCAGTGATAACCAAGGTCCAATTGCTTAACTTCCTTGGGCTACCCCTCTGGATCACTGTAAAGGTAGAAGACAAAGGCAGATACAGATGCAAAGTGCTTAGCATAGAGCCCACTACAGAGGAAGCGCTGAGGTGGGGCAGCTGACCTGGGCCACCACTGAGCACATATGAAGTGGCTCCAGCTCGAGCTCCAAGGAAATCTGGTTGGAGCCGGGCTGGTGGGAAGTCTTCACAAGGGAGCTACACAGCAAGAAGGAATGGCAACAGGCCTTGTGACTGTAGGAGTGGCAGAATGGATGGGTGAGGACTGCGGCAAGATTTACTAAAGTAAAGTCATGTACTCTGAGTGGAGGCTGCGGGATTCGGCTCTTTGTGCTGTTCTTTCTAAAGTGGAGGCAAGGCACAAGCCAGTACCAGGAAAGAACCAGGACAATGAGGTAATCAGGCATCAGCCGCGCCTGTCCATGTGCAGTCCAGGGAGCAGGGCTGTTCTGTCGGACATGGTGAGAGAGCGGCCCCCAGGGACTGGCTCATTAAGATCCAGTGCAGATTGGCCTTGTCTGGGCTCTCAGACGTCAGCTCATCCCGCTTGGCAAGTGATTGACAGGGACAGAAGGCGGCACATGTGCCTCTCTTCTTGAGCTCCACCACTCCGCACTGCACCCACCTTTTCCGAGCTCCCTCATTAGGGAGGCTCCACCCCAGCTCCGTCTCTCAGTCTTTCCTTGGCTCTTGGGACTCTGCGCAGAGGTAATGGTGTCTGGGCTCCTCTTTGCTCTGGGACTCATGCATTCTTTCTCTTCCTGTCTCTTTTGTGCTCTGCTTTTATCTTAGTGACTTTCAATGAGATACTGAACATTTACTTGGTGTTTTGCTTTTGATCAGTCCCTCTCTTAGATGCTTTAATATATAAATCTATATATAAAATATGTAAATAAATAAATATGAATTTATATATATTGTATTTATATGTAGTATTTATGCACAGTATTTATAAATACTGTGCATAAATACAATACTATGCATAAATATGATATATAAAATACTAAAATATATAGTGATATATTTAATATAATATATAATAATAAAATATATGATAGACATAAAATAATGGTATATGTAAAATAACATGTATATGAAACACTTAAATAGCATCTACAATATTCTAGAAAGTGTTCAAAATGCTTTTCTGATACTAAACACACCCTCCTGAGTGGACCACACTTGAGTTACTAAGCATTCTTTCCACTTTACAGATCAGGTATTAAGGCGCGAAGAGGTCTGAAAATTTGCTGGATGTTGATCAGCAGCTAAGTAGTAGAACCACAAACCCACTCCAGGGCTCTGCCTTGCTGCCTATACCTTTAACCACCGTGCTTTACTGCCCTTCTGTGCTGGGCCTTGTATCATTGCAGCATGGGTGTTTTTATAATGAAGAAAACTGGGCTTGAGTAACGTGGCCTTGTCCTAGGTGACTAACAGGGCAGAAAAGACAGTCATAACTTTGACCCTGAGGCTTTTTTGCCTTAGGTTCAGGGCTAATTTGCCCTAAAGGGCTACTCTTGCTTCTCACCAGCCCTGCATCAGACAAGGAGGATGTGTGCAGAGAGGCTGAGCTTGTGGGAGTTGAGGTGCAGCCTGGAGGCAGCACTTCTGGAATGGCCTCCGCTCCACAGGCCAGCAAGGCTGAGTGAGGGGCGATCCAGACAGAGGCCAGCCTGAGAGGCCTGCATCCTGCGACCAGCTGATGTCTCTGAGAGCTTCTGCCCAGGGTCTGGTTGCGGACAGCTCTTTCCTCCCTGCTGGGAGGAAGGGAGACCAGTCCAGAACCTGTGGCAGGAAGTCTGGGAACCAGTTCTATGCTCAAATTTCAACTTGCTCCTTGGTCACCTTTCCCATTGCTGGGACAGAAGACCCAGCACCTGTGACTTAAAGCGAGGGAGTTTTGTTTTGGCTCAAGGTTGCAGAGGGTTCAGTGGATGATGGGCTGGCTATAAGGCAGATATGTCATGGTAGAGGGGCTTGGTGGAGGAAAGATGCTCATTTTGTGAGAGCAGGGAAACAGACCAAGAGTAGGAGAGCCAGATGGAGTGGAGATACATTCTCCAAAGGGCCTAGGGACACACTTCTTCCAGTCAGGCCCCACCTCTTAATGGCACCTTCAGTTCTGAACTCATGAGTGGATCAACCCTCTGATGAGTGAGTTGCCCCCATGATCCAATCACCTTGCAGAAGCTGTAGCTCTGAACACATGAGTTTTGGGGAACATTTTTAATCCAGGCCACAGCAACATGCAGAGGAATCCCTAACTCCTTGTTAATGTAGATTCTGATTCGGTCAGTCTAGAGCAGGCCCTGCTTCTGCATTTCTAAGGAGATTGCAAATAATGTTGGTGCTACCAGGTAAAGGGACCAGCTTCCTAGGTCTCCTGGGAGTGTCTTATCTGTGAGTTTCAGTCATTTTCTCTTGTAGGTCAGTGGTTGTGGTTTGCAAAGTCTTCCTGGGAATAACTAACTCTGGGTGGTTGGGGAAAAAAGTAGAGATTAGGACATCCTGCTTCTGCTCTATTTTCTAGGACATTCTTGCCCTTTTGTCTCAGACAAAGCCTCAGCACCTTGCAAAGTTGCCTGAGGTTTCTCATCTCCAAGTCCATCCTGCATGTGTTCCATAGCACCCGCATGTGCAAGTACTCCAGCCCTCCTTCTGACTACGTGTAGGCTCTCTGATCTGCTATCCACAGGGGCAAGAATGCCTGGGAGCCAGGGTACACCACACAATGTTAAATCATGAAATGAAACCTCCTTGTTTTCAGAGGGATGGTTAGCTATAGCATCAGGGTCTATCCCCGGGCCTAAATTTTCAGGGAGAGCTGGAAAGAGGTGGCTGGAGGAACTCCGTGAGGCACAGGGAGCGGCTTGGAAGGGCTATGAGTTTACTCAGGTACTCAGGAGGCTGAAAGGTGGGAACCCTGTAGCCCGAAGTGCTCCTGGACCCTGCAGCTCCCTTCCTCTGACAGGGCATGTGTCAAACTCCACAAATTCCATAATCTCCTGCTGGCTTTCCTCTTTCCTTTAATTCCTGTGATCTTAGAGT